GTATTGGACTGGAAGCTAGAGCCCAACATTACTAATGGAGGCTCCCATCATTACGGTCAGACTGGGATAATAACTGAATGTCTTTGGCGTAATATATATCGAGTAAAGTACTTGGGTATGAATGATGCTGATGAGTTCTTTATTCCGGTACAACATAAGACGATATCAGAGCTGATGTCCGATATTGATAAAGCTCCTACCGCAACTTTCGGTTTTCCGAACTTCATGATGAAAGGGAACGAGATGCTGCCAAAAGTAGCGAAAGCGTTGAGTTCAAACAGCTGCTCAGAGATAAAGAAGGACACCCTACCTATTTATTACACCAGGAGCAAAGGCTGTGTCATGAGAGGCCAGTACGTTCAAAAGGTTATATTTCGTCCTGAAGCCATTTACATCCCGTGGGTCCATCACCTCATCAAGTGGCGAAGGGGAGAGTACAGGGAGGAGCTTGTGGTACCAGAGGATAAAGGACTCTCCTATCATTATAGAGATGGTTGGTATGATCGACCTGATACTAAAGACAGGCAATGTTCTACTCCAGATTATGAGGCTACAGTGGTTGAGAGGTACCTCAAGGCAATCACTGGCTGTGATATTTAACAGATTAGGTTCTACGGACACTTATGGATTATACTGCTGATATTAAAACTATTTTATGAACTCTTTATTACTATTATCAATGTAATAATATTTATGGTAGACATTTTTTGACCTTAGTTTGCTCATTGAGTATTACATCTATTAAAGTGATATCTGTGGCAGCAGTAGCCATTTTATGCTAGTGCATATTTTTGATTTTGGAGTCAATTTTTACAAAAAACATGGGTCATTTACTATGTTGGCTCCATGGCATTTGGCAAATACATGACACTAATTTGACAAAATTCATTAAACAGTTTAAGCCAAGTTCTAAGGAATGTTGTAAAAGTACTAGACTAAAATGATTATTATAAACATTGCAGTTCTAACATTTTCACTAATTAACAATCCTTAATTACTAAATGTCACAGCCTGTCAGGATCTTAATATATTTCTCAATGACTGTTGTATGATACTCTGGGACTGAACAAGGCTTGTACTTCTTCCAATGTGACCTGAAATGGTATGACAGCCCGGTATCTTCAGGTAGCTTATATTCTTCAATGTACTCCCAGCTACGAAACTTTATCTGACAGTGGACCCATGGGAGGTATATTGCTACTGGCCTGAAGACAACTTTCTGGACAGCCCTGCCTCTCAGCACACAGCCTTTGCTCCTGGTGTAGTATATAGCAATGGGCCCATTCCTTAGCTGGGGACATGTTCCTGATTGTAATGCTTTTGATACTTTGGGTAGCGTCTCGTTACCTTTCATCATGAAATTCGGGAAACCAAAAGTTGCCGCAGGAGTTTTTGATACTTGAGGAGTATCAATATCGGACATCAGCTCTGATATTGTTTTATGCTTAAGAGGAATAAAGAATTCATCAGCATCATTCATACCCAAGTACTTCACTCGATATATATTACGCCACAAACATTCAGCCAGGACTCCAGTCTGCCCATAATGATGGGAGCCTCCATTAGTAATGTTAGGCTCTAGCTTCCAGTCCAATACTTCAACAGTTCCTTTATTAATGTATGGTAGTAATATATCATAGACTCCTTCTGCCCCAGTCTGTATGTATATTATTATTATTTCAGCTCCTACTGCCAAGTGCATTTTCACATAATCCAGGAGTACCTTAGGCTTGAAATCAGTTCCAATCCCTTTATGGAGACAAACACCAAAATTATAATCATATTTCTTGGGTTTAATGGTTTGTATGGGGATAATACCAATCTCACTGCTACAGTTTTTATTAGTTGATACTGTGATGTGAGATACTGATTCATACTGCGTCTGAAATAGTAGGCCAGTTTTTAGCAGGTAATTCTCATAATTATCATACCCACGACCAATAGCTCCATAGTCCCATTGTGTCGGCACACAGTGAGGTCTCTTCCACATTGTATTATAGTGAATATTGATATACAGTGCTACTGGAGGTGCTTTTCGTTTATCTTGCATTGTTATCAGGCGAATTGTTACATTTTCAATATCTCTTAAGTCCAGATACCCAAGCCTCCTTACCTATGTTAATAATAATATTTCACCACAAAAACAAAGCCGTATATGGCATGTACTATAGTGTGTGGGTGTATCAAGGGAACTACCACAAGTTTATATAGTGGAGACCACAGGAGGAGTAATCCAGAGAACAGTCCCTTCATAAACCTGTACACTATAGTACAAACCAGATAAACTACAGTTGTTTCCTGTTATTACATATGAGGATGTTAGTTGATTAGAAGCCTCGACTTCAACTAACATCCTCTTCTAATCAACAAATTAACATCTACTAGGCAAATTATGTTAGCATAATTTGGAGCATAATGGAACATAATGGGTCAAAAATTTCTGGCTGACCACATGATTTTAAGTACCAGTAAAACAACCCAACTGTTTATGTTTAATACTCACATGACTTCTTCAAGCTATGCAAGTGTGGTGAGTCCAGTGGCTTAGGCTGTGCTATTTTCCAGTGTCTCAAAGTCTGAAAACATTTTCAAATTCTGGCATTATTATGATATTGCAATTATAGCAGATACATGTACATGTAACTTGATAGTAGATATTTGAGTAAAGCTTAAACTATGGGTATATAATGAGCTTATAATTGGATTTACTTCAAAGCCCGGATAATAGGATGGAATTTGGAGCAGTGCCTAAAATCTTAATAGGCAGAAATTGAAGCATAATTAGCTTACCCTATAACATATAACATAATCTCTTATCTTACTATGTAATCACGTGAAACCAGTACCCACAAATCATCAGTAGTTTTTGGATGATGAAGCGCCTTCTTATAATATCCAACCTAACAATTACAAATATAATTATAAATAATAATAACTTGATCTTGTAAGATGCTGTATTGTTGTGCACGTGGAAACAGTTTGCTTGTCTATGGAATGTACAACAATCCTTTCATGCTAATAATTGACAAAAGCCTACATCTAAAGTCTAAAGCCCAACATGCACTGAGCAGCTTGTGGTCAGACCTTTCATGTGATCGACCAAAAATGAAAAGACTCTTAACTTCTGGCAACAAGTTGCCTCACCATATCAAAGTCAGAGCAATAGACATGATTGATGATTCAACATTGATCCGGTCCAAAATTGACACTGATCAGGCTTGAATCGTTGATTTTGGGTAGTGGCCTGTTTTAGAGATGATAATTCTTGGCTGTGTAAACGTGGTTCAAGCAATCTGATTGACACGCCAATTTCTCTGCATAAGGCACATATTCTTAATGGCAATGTCTCCCGGCAGACCTTTCCTCCATAATCTAGTTCCTCCAATCCGCAGGACAGCAGGTAGTGAAGGGGAAGGGCAAGACTAAGCATATACAGTACTTTACAAGCTTCTAAGCTATGGGATGATTTTAAAGGACTGTTCACTATACAGTGTATGCCATAACTAACTCACCGAACTGTATTTTGATGCCTCATTATTGCTTCTAACACTAACAGAATCATAAACCTATAAGGGCCTGTACTGTACAAACATACCACTAAGAAATGAAATACCTTTTTGAACCAGTCAGCTCCTACCAGTTGGTACAGGGTCACTTGCACCAATATAACTGCAACAATGACAGAGAGAAGAACAAGAGATAATGATCTTGCTCGAGTAGATGCCATGATTTCACAGCCGAAGACTCGACCGGAAGCACGAACACTTGATTATTTATTATTAACTAAAACGGCGCATTATTTAAACCTTAGTTATTAAATAGTTAATTAACATTTTAACAATATTAGGGTTATGTACTCATGGGATACTTCAATTTACATAGATATGCTTTAATATTGATGAATATTGATATTGACACTATCACACTAAATTATACTCAATTAAATACCGTGAATTTTGGTAATACTGCCTGCCTAGCACTAATTATTAATAAAAAAGACTTAAACATTCATGGCACATACAGCAGCAGCTGTCATTAGCTGGTCATAATGAACTCAGTGTCTATCATATTACACTCTCAATGGTTTCAGTCCTAGTTTCTCTCTCAGTTCATTTGCTTCTTTTATTTCAAGTTCTTCCTCTTCAGTCATCTCCTTCTTACTGCTTGACTTCTTTTTGCTTTTCTTCTTTTCTTTCTCTTTCTCTTTCTCAGCTCTCTTCTTCTCCTTCTTATGCTCCTTCTCTCTCTCCTTTTCTCTCTCCCTCTCTCTCTCTTTCTCTCTCTCTTTCTCTCTCTCTTTCTCTTTCTTGTGTTTTCTCTCTTTCCCTCTCTCTTCTCTCCTCCTTCTCTCTCTATCTGGTGATCGTCTTGACGACCTAATTAAATCAATTAATAAAACTTTCAATTAATTAATTATTCATTACTTGTGAGGCGAAGGAGACCTCCTGTGTCTATGGTAATGATCAGGAGGAGACCTTGAACGACTAATAAATAAATAAATTAATAAATAAATAATTATTGCATTAATTAATTAACCTTCTGTTGTATCTGTGTCTGTCAGGAGGAGTATAAGATCTTGATAAGCTCCGCCTCCTTCTAGGAGAATAGCTTCGGCTACGTCTAAAACAAGAGCAACATTTA